CACCGGCTTGCTGGTGGAGCAGCTGCTGCAGCAGGCGGCGCGCGAGCAGGACAAGCAGCAACAGCTGCAGCGTGACCTGCAGAAGGCATTGCGTGATCTCGAGGCTGCCCGGGAGGAAATGGGGGTGCTGCGGTGCCAGCCTAATCACCATCCCCATCAACCCCCGGAAACCTCCCAAGCCCCGGATTCCCAAGGCAGGAAAAGCAGAAGGACCCGGTTCCAGCCAGGGCCTGAAGACCAGGCATCTCTACAGTCCAGCAGAGACAAACAGGAGGAGGACGCCTCTCTGCTAGAGAGCCCACTTGCCCTCGGGGAGCCAGCCAGTGCCCCTCAAGGGCCAGACAGAGTCCCAGCCAGCCAGCCTCTGGACTGCAGACCCCAGGCCAAGAAAACCAGCTCCCAGTCCAACTCCTCCTCTGAGGTGGAATCGGTGTGGGCCACCGTGCCCTCTTGCCTTACTCTGGACATGGACACGGCCAGTGAGGTGGAGGATCTGGATCCTGACAGTGCGTCCTTGACCCTGGAAGTGGGGGACTCAGAGGCCCCCGCCGCCCCCAAGCTCAAAATCTTCCTGGTTCGATATAGCTACAACCCATTTGAGGGACCCAATGAGCACCCCGAGAGTGAGCTGCCCCTCACGGCTGGCGAGTATGTATATATCTTCGGTGAGATGGATGAGGACGGCTTCTATGAAGGGGAGCTTGAGGATGGCCGGCGGGGCCTGGTGCCCTCCAACCTGGTGGTGCAGATTCCAGACAATGACATCCTTGGCTGCCTGCCCCCAGAGTCCTTGGACCCTGGCCCCACTCAGCTCCCAGCCGGACAGGGCAAAACTTCAAAGGAAGACATTAGTCACAGCTTATTGCCTGGGGAAGCTCAGGGGGCTGTGGACAGGGAGACGTGCCAGATGGTGAGGGCGGCCTCCAAGACAGAAGTGGCCATGGAGACCTCAGACGCCAAGACGGAAGATGGCTGGCTGGGCTCACGGCAGAGTGTGGAGGAGCAGGGCTTCTCCAGACCCCTTCTAGGGCCCAAAGGGGTCCCTTGTGTCGCCCCCAAAGAACTACGCCTGCAGAACGTTGTGGCCACATCGGCCAAGATCGTCTGGGTCTACAGCAGCTGCTGCCGCCCACACGTGGTGTATCTCAATGACCAGAAGCATGCCCTGACCCCAGCCGGTGTGAGCAGCTACACCTTCCACAACCTGCATCCCAGCACCCGGTACCAGGTGCAGGTGGAGGTGCAGCTGCCGTGGGACTCCATGCAGGTGCGCTGGGAAACCATGTCCTCCACTCTCACCTTTGACACGCCCTTGGCAGGACCCCCTGACCCTCCACTGGACGTGCTGGTAGAGCGTCACACCTTACCAGGCCTCCTGGTGGTCAGCTGGCTCCCCGTGACGATCGACTTGGCCGGGTTCTCCAATGGAGTCCGGGTCACTGGCTATGCCGTGTATGCCGATGGGCTCAAGGTTGCCGAGGTCACCGATGCCACCGCTGGCAGCACCCTGTTGGAGTTGTCCCGGCTCCAGCTGCCCCTGATGTGCCAGAAGGTCTCGGTGAGAACCATTTCGCTTTGTGGCGAGTCACTGGATTCGGTGCCGGCCCAGATCCCCCAGGACTGTTGGAACTGTAACCGATTGCCAGAGACCTCTCCCTTTACTTACACCCCTGGCGACCAGTCCCCGTCCAGAATCACCTTCCCCGTCTGCCCTCAGAGGCTGGCGCTGGCTCCACCGAGTGCCAAGGCTAGTTCCCACATCCCCAGAAGCCGTGGGGGGTCCCTAGAAGCCTTCCCTGAAGAACCCCCGAGGAAGCACTCCCCGCTGCCCAACCTGAGTCCAGAAGGAGAATGTCCCGGTGCAGGGGCTGGCAGCCAAACCCAGGGGCCTGCGGAGGCCTGGGAGGTCTGCAGAAAAGACCTACTCTTTCAGAAGAGTCCTCGGAACCACAGGCCACCTCTGCACCGTGGCCAATCTCAGGGGGAGGAAGACCGTGACTGGCACATGGACACCAGCCAAAGCCCTGCTCTGGGAGTCCTCCATCTGTCTCCCGAGTTTGCACCCAGGAAAGAAGCCTGTCAGGAAAAGGCTGCCCTCGAGAAGGTCCTTAGGCAAAAGCAAGACGCCCAAGTGTTCACACCTCCCCAGATAGGCACCCGCCAACGACATATGTCTGACTTCCATGACATTTTGCAGCAGGAGGAGGAGGCAGCGTGCTTTGGCCCATGGGCCACAGAGAGGCAAGAGCAGAGAAGGGAGCTTAGGGCACAGAGCAGGCGAGGTCAGGCTCTGTGGGGCGAGAGAGAGAGCCAGCTCCACGAGCCCAGCTCTGCGCCCTGTCCAGCTTCGTCCAGCAAAGTCCTTACGGTGTCCGGGGGAGGCCCCCCACAGCTGGAGGCGGGCCGGGACACCGCGGGCAGGGTCTTTGTGGCGCTCTTTGATTATGAGCCCCTGGTGATGTCTGCCAACCCCGAGGCTGCAGAGGAGGAGCTGGCCTTCCAGAAAGGGCAGTTGCTGAGAGTGTGGGGCTCTCAGGACTCCCACGGCTTCTACCGCGGCGAATGCAACGGTCAAGTGGGCAACATCCCTGGGCATCTGGTGGCTGAGGTGGAGGACGGTATGGAGAGGACTGATAGCAGGTGGCATTTGCCAGTGCAAGGGCACCTGCCCTCTGTGGCCCACCTAGATGAAGTTGGGGGGCTCACCATCCCCCAGGACTCCTTTCCCCTGCCCCAAGGGAACCCCAGGGGACCTCCACTGTGCACTCGAATGACCATGATGGCAGCTCTAGACTATGACCCCAAGGATGGGTGGGCAGGGGGCCAGGTGAAGGGCAAGCTGTTGCTGAAGGCTGGGGACCTGGTTACAGTCTACGGGCCTGTGGATGACAGGGGATTCTATTATGGGGAGTCAGGCGGCCACAGAGGTCTTGTCCCAGCCCACCTGCTGGATTACATGTCCCTCCATGATGAGTGAGCAAGGCTATCCGAGGGGGTAGTGGCCTCTGGCCGCCCACGCCCCGCCAGAGAAGAAGCAAGCACACAGACCCTTTCGCCAGCACCCCTCCTCGCCTCCAAGAGCACCACTGTGTGAAACCGATGGCAGCCTTCCGCATCCGCAGCCTCTGAGAGCAGCAGGGCTTCCGTCTGAACTCAGATGTTCCCAAAAGAAAACAGGACAAGCAGCCCCTAGAGTGTGACAGGCTGGTCTGGAGTTGTCAGTAACGACGACAGGCATTCGGAGAAGGGCCTTTCTGTGTTTACTCAGCGTTTTCTTTAAGAGGTGAATGTTATCCATCCATGGTTATGTATGAAAGTCTCAAGGAAAGCTTGCCTCTTAAAAAAAGTGACCAGAATGTTAGTTTTCTGTCTTATGTTCAACCCCGAATTAAAATAGAAAATAATAAAAAGAATATTTTATTGATTTCAAAGAGAGAGGAAGGGAGAGAGAGAGAGAGAAACATCGATTTGTTGCTCCACCCATTCATGCATTCATTGGTTGATTGAACCCTCAATCTTGGCATATAAGGACGACAACCAACTGAGCTATCGGGCCAGGGCCAAAAAAGAATAATTTAGAAGAGAAAGGAAGCCCGGCTGGCGTGGCTCAGTGGTTGAGCATCGATCTATGAACCAGGAGGTCATGGTTTGATTCCCGGTCAGGGCACATGCCTGGCTTGTGGGCTTGATCCCCAGTGTGGGGCGTGCAGGAGGCAGCCGATCAATAATTCTCTCTCATCATTCTCTCTCTCTCTCTCTCTCTCTCTCTCTCTCTCTCTCTCCCTTCCTCTCTGAAATCAATAAAAAAAATATATTTTAAAGAAGTAGAAGTGAAAGCACCACCAAGGGGAACACAAACTGCTTCTCTTCCCTCTGTTCTGTCCAGGGGGCCCGAAAGGGCTGCACACGTGTTTTCCCAGCTGGGGGGGGGGTGGGGGGGAGGGCACTCCCTTGTTTCAGAACCGCTTCCTCCCAGGGTCTTCTGGGGCTCCCCCTCAAGGAGACCGAAGATGAGGGGTGGTCTTCATCCTCTGCTTCTGTCCCGATGTCCCTTTGTTTCCCTAAGTCCAACTGTGCTGTCAGAGGACGGGCACTGCCTCCCCGAGTGCAGGAGGAAATTGCTGGAAGCATTCCTGGGCAGGAGGTTTGGAGCCCCTGGCAGGTTCTTCGGGGAGTTGGTGAATTGGGTTCAGAAGGTTCCTCCATGCTGTCCCCGGGCTGAAGGCAGGAACAGGTAAGAGGCAGGCCCGGGGCTGTCTCCACCCGACACACTTACTGCTGCCTCGTCCTCAAAGCACAGGAACCAAGGAGGCAGCTGTGATGTGCACACACGCACTCACCCTCGTGAGCAGAGTGCTGCGGGGCTGGGCCTGGGGAGGCAACCCTTTGCCTCATCCACTGAGGGCCATGATCATCCCCTCAGGTTTACAACCACCCATTTTTTTTCAGTGAAAAAGTAGGCTCAAATAGCCTAGGGAGGCAACACAGACCAGCTCACACTTTTTTTAAAAAATTGTGATAAAATATACATAACATAAAATTTACCATCTGAACCATTTTTGTGAGCAATTCAGTAATTGACATTGTTGTGCAAGCAATCTCCAGAATTCTTTTCATCCTATAAAGCTGAAACTCTGTACCCATTAAGCGACAATAATCCATTCCCCTCTCTCCTGATAACTTTTAATCTATTTCCTATCTCTATGGATTTGACTACTCTAGGGACCTCATGTAAGTAGACTGGGTGTAGTAAATTTGTCTTTTTATGTTTGGCTTATGTCACTTAGCATAATATCCTCAAGTTTCATCCATGTTGTAGCACATATCAGAATTTTATTTATTTTTAAATATATTTTTATTAATTTCAGAAGAAGGGAGAGGGTGAGAGAGATGGAAACATCAATGATGCAAGAGAATCATCAATCAGCTGCCTTCTGCACACTGGGGTTCGAGTCCGCAACCCCGGGCATGTACCCTGACCAGGAATTGAACCGTGACCTCCTGGTTCATAGGTCAACACTCAACCACTGAGTCATGATGTCCAGCCAGAATTTCACATCTTTTTAAGGCTCCATAATATTCCTTTGTATGCATCAAGAGAATCATCAATCAGCTGCCTTCTGCACACTGGGGTTCGAGTCCGCAACCCGGGCATGTACCCTGACCAGGAATTGAACCGTGACCTCCTGGTTCATAGGTCAACACTCAACCACTGAGTCATGATGTCCAGCCAGAATTTCACATCTTTTTAAGGCTCCATAATATTCCTTTGTATGCATGTACTAAGTGATGTTTACCCATTCATCCATCAGTGGACACTTGGGGTATTTCGACTTTTTTTGGCTACTGTGATAGTGCTGCTATGAACATGGGTATCCTAGGATCTCTTCTCAGCTTTCACAGTGTTTCAAACGAACAGATCCCTGGGAGCTCACAACCCAGAATGGAACCCGAGGATGATGAGCAATGAGACAGCTGCTCCTGCTGGAGTGGACGGCCCAGCCCTCCTGAGCTGGAGATCCTGGTGCCCCAGCCTGAGGGGTGGAGACAAATGTGATTCCCACGCACTGGAAGAGCAACAGCAGTTTAGAGAATAGGAACTTTAATCCACACACTTTTAAAATCAAATGCAATAACGAATTCCATGAGAACCACAAATGCAACCCAACATGAATTATGTCAGCCCCGTTATTCCATCATTTTTTTAAAATATATTTTATTGATTTTTTTACAGAGAGGAAGGGAAAGGGATAGAGAGTTAGAAACATCGATGAGAGAGAAACATCGATCAGCTGCCTCCTGCACATCTCCTACTGGGGATGTGCCCGCAACCAAGGTACATGCCCTTGACCGGAATCGAACCTGGGACCCTTCAGTCTGCAGGCTGATGCTCTATCCACTGAGCCAAACCGGTTTCGGCATATTCCATCATTTTTTAACTTTGCATCCTTCCCTGACCATCGGCCAAGATCACTCTCCTTTTTTCCCAACAGCTGCAGGACCGTCCAGGTCTAGGCTGTACAGTGGCACCTCCACCCCTCCGTTCAGACCCCACCTGCTTTATTTTTCTCCATAGTCCTCAGCCACACCTGGTATTTTCTATTTCTGTGTCCACCCCCATAACCATTCCCTCATCAGAATGTGAGTCCCCCAAAGGAAGAGACTTCTTTGGCTTGTTCATCGCCCAGCATGTAGCAGGTCCTCAATAAGTGTGTGCTGACTTCACTCCCAAGCTTCCAGGGCCCTTCCTTTACCTCTATAACTTGTTTGCTAAGCCCATTTATTTTCCAAACAAATGTTCTCTTGTATAAATAGATAAATAAGTGCTGGATGAAGGAACAAGTAATTTTTGACCATCCCTTGTATGTGGCCCCTGTGCTGGGCCCAGACACTGATCTGTGCTCCTGGCATTCACACCATGCATGGGCTGCTCCACCCACTGGGATAGAGTAAGACAGGAACCCTGCAAAGCAGAGGAAGACGTTGCTAATTCTGACCATGGGCACTGGGGCAGGTAGGGAGGAGGGCAACCTAGCGGTGGGAATAGCAGAAGTAAACACCCTGCGACGTGTGAGAATGAGTGATTGCACATTTGGGAAAACCCAGGGAGCAGAGGCACAGGAAGAGAGAAATGGATTGAGGACAGGTGTCCACCCCAAGGGTTTCAAAGTCCTCAGGAGCTTCCTCATGCTGCCACTAGGGGGCAGCCTAGGCACACCGAGGGTTGCTCTCTAGGGACTGCACCTGGGCCCGCTTGGGCCTTGAGCACCGTGTCAAGGTGAGCTGGAAATGGCTCTGACCCTGCAAGCCTAGGATTCAGGCCCCGCCCAGCCCTGTTCTCTCCCCAGAGCACCCTGGGGAACCTCCCCCCAACACAGGCCCATAAGGGACATTCTTCCAGAGGATCCAGGACCAGTGTCAGGCCTGGCCTATCTGATGCCCAGCCACAGGAAGTCCTCCCCTTTCATTTTTCTTACAGCCCCACTCCTGCAAATCCAAGTTTCCCTGCGGCCATGGGAAGTTTTAGTGAGTGAATCAAGAAGCACAAGGCCAGGTGGGCTGAGGAAGGCAGGGCCGCTGAGTGGTAGAGCAACTGGGCTCTGGAACCCAGCCTGCCAGTAGACAGTTAGGAGGCCTCCCTGAGCCTGTTTCCTCATCTGTGGCGGGGAGGGGGGTATTTTGAGCAGATTCTGTGTGCAGAGCACTTGGCGCAAGGTCAGGACCCAAAGGAAGACCAAGAAAGCTGGTGAGGGCACCGATAGTGGGAGTCTGGGGCAGGGGCAGATGGTTCTGGGTCCAGTCGGCCTCCCCCAAGGGCTTTGAGAGCCTGAAGGCTTTGATCAGGGGCAAGGGGAGGCCATACAGGTCTAGTGAGGTGGGCGGGCTGGGAAGGAGTGAATGCCTGGTCATGGCCTGCACTGGGCCCCTCCCCGACTGACCAGATGACCTGCAGGCCCCAAGCCTGTCCAGGCCTGCCCAGGAGGAGAAAGGGGGATGGAAAGCCCAGCTGGCCAGAGGGCAGAGGAGCCTGCAGAGTGGTGAAAGAGGCCGTGTCTGACGAGTCTGGAGAGTTCTGGAGCGAGGGTCACTGAGCCCGACCTGGCACTGTCCACCGCTGCCCAGGGGCCTCTGGTCAGGGCAGGTCTCAGTACCTCGCCAGCCCTCCCTCAACAGAGGAGAGGCTTTCAGGCTTTTCTCATCGTTTCCTGTTCTCACTCCCCACACGTTGGATGCGTTATCAGGTTTCACAAACCAGGACACTGAGTAGCTGCCCCAGAAATGGCTCCTTTTTGCCTTTCCCACGGCCCACCTGCTGTGGGAGCCCCCCTCTTGCAGAGCCCCCTGGGACCAGCCCATCCATCCCCCTCTACCTCTGCCAATGTGCGTTTTTCAAAATGTAAGGGTAACTGATCAGTATCAGTCATTATATGACATGTGTTCACAAGAACACACCATGAGAGACAATGAATAAAAAGCTCAGGCCCAGCCGGCGTGGCTCAGTGGTTGAGCGTGGACCTACGAACCAGGAGGTCATGGTTTGGTTCCGGGTTGGGGCACATGCCTGGGTTGTGGGCTTGATCCCCGGTGTGGGGCATGCAGGAGGCAGCCAATCCATGGTTCTCTCTCATCAGTGATGTTTCTATTTCTCTCTCCCTTTCCCTGCTTCTCTGAAATCAATAAAAATATATTTTAAAAAATAATAAATAAATAAAAAGCTCAGATTCCACTTTTGATTCCACTTCTTCTCCCTGTGTCAGCCCCTTGGAGGTCGGATTTGAAGGCTGGGCGGAAGGGTGTGGGAAGTCAGGGGTTCCACCCAAGGTAGAACACACAGAGCCAACCCTGGGCTTGTAAAACCAAACGTAATTCCAGGTGGAGC